CAAAAGTATTTACAAAATATAATAAAGGCTTTTTTGTTTCATTTCAAATTTTTTTAATGCAACGTAACAAAAATGACCAAATAAAGCAAATAAAAGTGGGGAAAAAAAAAACTGAAATAAAAAAAAGAATAAATCAGCAGGAAAACAATAGTTAAAGGAGAACTATGGGGTGAGAGTTTTTCCCCATACTTCTCTTTAGGGTCACCGGAGGACATATGCTAACCTCCTCCCGTGACCCAAAGGTCAGTATATAGCGAGCTATTGCCCGCTATATAGTGAGAGCGCCGCAGCCGGGATGGATCGCGATAATACTGTCGAGATCCACCCAGCTGCGTGAGTGACAGCTGGCTCTGCCTATCTAGAGGTTACACTAGCTGTGCCCGCCCCCTCCCCCGTCCGTTCCGCCAGTCAGCGCTGGAGGATCGGAGAGGGGAGGAATCCCCGCGGGGAGCAGTGACTGAGAGTCACCGCTCACTGCAGGGAGACGATCGGGAAGTGAGAGGATCGGCGGCATGTTTTTGCTCGCTTCCCGATCGATAGAGCCGACCTGTGACGGCTTCTTTGTCACAGGTCGGCTCTAACTATGAGGATACATCACTCACCTCATAGTTCTCCTTTAAGAGGAGAAGGGGAAAAAGGAGTTAATTAGGGCTGAATATGGGAAACTAAGGATTATATAAGGCTGAAGGGGAGGATGGAGGTCAGATATAAGGCTGAAGTGGAGGACAGAGGTCAGATATAAGTCTGAAGGGAAGGGCAGACGTCAGATAGAAGGATGAAGGGGAGGACGGAGGTCAGATATAAGGCTGAAGGGGAGGACGGAGGGCAGATATAAGGCTGAAGGGGAGGACGGAGGGCAGATATAAGGCTGAAGGGGAGGACGGAGGGCAGATATAAGGCTGAAGGGGAGGACGGAGGGCAGATATAAGGCTGAAGGGGAGGACGGAGGGCAGATATAAGGCTGAAGGGGAGGACGGAGGGCAGATATAAGGCTGAAGGGGAGGACGGAGGGCAGATATAAGGCTGAAGGGGAGGACGGAGGGCAGATATAAGGCTGAAGGGGAGGACGGAGGGCAGATATAAGGCTGAAGGGGAGGACGGAGGGCAGATATAAGGCTGAAGGGGAGGACGGAGGGCAGATATAAGGCTGAAGGGGAGGACGGAGGGCAGATATAAGGCTGAAGGGGAGGACGGAGGGCAGATATAAGGCTGAAGGGGAGGACGGAGGGCAGATATAAGGCTGAAGGGGAGGACGGAGGGCAGATATAAGGCTGAAGGGGAGGACGGAGGGCAGATATAAGGCTGAAGGGGAGGACGGAGGGCAGATATAAGGCTGAAGGGGAGGACGGAGGGCAGATATAAGGCTGAAGGGGAGGACGGAGGGCAGATATAAGGCTGAAGGGGAGGACGGAGGGCAGATATAAGGCTGAAGGGGAGGACGGAGGGCAGATATAAGGCTGAAGGGGAGGACGGAGGGCAGATATAAGGCTGAAGGGGAGGACGGAGGGCAGATATAAGGCTGAAGGGGAGGACGGAGGGCAGATATAAGGCTGAAGGGGAGGACGGAGGGCAGATATAAGGCTGAAGGGGAGGACGGAGGGCAGATATAAGGCTGAAGGGGAGGACGGAGGGCAGATATAAGGCTGAAGGGGAGGACGGAGGGCAGATATAAGGCTGAAGGGGAGGACGGAGGGCAGATATAAGGCTGAAGGGGAGGACGGAGGGCAGATATAAGGCTGAAGGGGAGGACGGAGGGCAGATATAAGGCTGAAGGGGAGGACGGAGGGCAGATATAAGGCTGAAGGGGAGGACGGAGGGCAGATATAAGGCTGAAGGGGAGGACGGAGGGCAGATATAAGGCTGAAGGGGAGGACGGAGGGCAGATATAAGGCTGAAGGGGAGGACGGAGGGCAGATATAAGGCTGAAGGGGAGGACGGAGGGCAGATATAAGGCTGAAGGGGAGGACGGAGGGCAGATATAAGGCTGAAGGGGAGGACGGAGGGCAGATATAAGGCTGAAGGGGAGGACGGAGGGCAGATATAAGGCTGAAGGGGAGGACGGAGGGCAGATATAAGGCTGAAGGGGAGGACGGAGGTCAGATATAAGGCTGAAGGGGAGGCTGGAGTTCAGCTTCCATTGATCAGGAATGTCCGGCCAGGCATGATACGTGTTGTGTGTCCAGGGGGAGGAATGCGAGGTGCTGTCCTCACATCTATGTGGAATTCTCCCTCGTGGCTCTGAGCACACACAGCCTCCCTCCTATATATAGAGTGATCGGGGAGGGGAAGTTGGAGGTTGGGATGAGTTCCCCGAGGAGAGAGTACCTGTGCAAGGTTCTGGTGGTCGGTGACCTCGGCGTCGGTAAGACCTCCATTATCCAGCGCTATGTACACAACATCTACTCGCACTGCTACAGAGCCACCATCGGCGTGGACTTCGCGGTGAAGATTGTGCGCTGGGAGAGGGACACGATGGTGAGACTTCAGCTGTGGGACATCGCAGGTCAGTGCATTCCATGCGGGATTCATTGGAGGGGCAAACACCGAGGGGGCTGATAAACGGAGGATGGAGGTTCTCTGCCCTCTGAGTGTCACCTCCAGATAATCATTGTTACCGCTGTACGGACGTTGTCAGGTGTCGCCACATTGTATCAAATCTCTAAACATCAGCCGACGCCACGAAAAGTATCTGATGTCGCTTTTGTCGTTGGTTTTTCTTGTTGTATAAATAAAGTTGTGTTCTTCCTGATCCTGGCTGAGGTTTGGGCCGTCGATAGAGATTTGATACAATTCATTATGAATGTTTTCTATTTGGGGATTGATCTGCGACGTCTAATCTGACCAAAGGAAACTCTTTCTGTATATGGAGGCCGAGGAGGAATGGGGCAGTTGATGAGGTCCCACGTCAGCCAATGGCGGTCCTCTTCTCTCCGGGACTGGAATGTGGGCCGAGGCTTCTACATTGTCTTCTCCATGAAATGGATTCCATCCCAGTTGGCCAATGATCCCGACACCGGCTGTAATGAACAATCCTGCAGTCAGGAGGTCACAGCCACACGACGGTTTACAAGGAATACCTTGATTTGGTTGTAGAGGAAAGTATGGGACCGGAGACATGCCTATCCTCAGGGGTCCACCAGATGAGTGCAGACGCCTGGGGATCGGCTTCCCTGACTTCTGCCTGAACTCAGCTCTTCTCAGAGAGAGGGGGAGAAGTCTGGCTGGCCACCTCTAGGGGTGGACATGCCATGTGAGAGTGGCACAAGGGACCCTCTAGGATTTGGGGTACAAACAGGTAAGCAGGTGCTGGAACCTCCACCCAACATTGCTGGGTGGGTGAGAAGCAAGAGGTGTCCTTCATGTCAGACATGTAGTGGAGGTGTCCTTCCTGTCAGACATGTAGTGGAGGTGTCCTTCCTGTCAGACATGTAGTGGAGGTGTCCTTCCTGTCAGACATGTAGTGGAGGTGTCCTTCCTGTCAGACATGTAGTGGAGGTGTCCTTCCTGTCAGACATGTAGTGGAGGTGTCCTTCCTGTCAGACATGTAGTGGAGGTGTCCTTCCTGTCAGACATGTAGTGGAGGTGTCCTTCCTGTCAGACATGTAGTGGAGGTGTCCTTCCTGTCAGACATGTAGTGGAGGTGTCCTTCCTGTCAGACATGTAGTGGAGGTGTCCTTCCTGTCAGACATGTAGTGGAGGTGTCCTTCCTGTCAGACATGTAGTGGAGGTGTCCTTCCTGTCAGACATGTAGTGGAGGTGTCCTTCCTGTCAGACATGTAGTGGAGGTGTCCTTCCTGTCAGACATGTAGTGGAGGTGTCCTTCCTGTCAGACATGTAGTGGAGGTGTCCTTCCTGTCAGACATGTAGTGGAGGTGTCCTTCCTGTCAGACATGTAGTGGAGGTGTCCTTCCTGTCAGACATGTAGTGGAGGTGTCCTTCCTGTCAGACATGTAGTGGAGGTGTCCTTCCTGTCAGACATGTAGTGGAGGTGTCCTTCCTGTCAGACATGTAGTGGAGGTGTCCTTCCTGTCAGACATGTAGTGGAGGTGTCCTTCCTGTCAGACATGTAGTGGAGGTGTCCTTCCTGTCAGACATGTAGTGGAGGTGTCCTTCCTGTCAGACATGTAGTGGAGGTGTCCTTCCTGTCAGACATGTAGTGGAGGTGTCCTTCCTGTCAGACATGTAGTGGAGGTGTCCTTCCTGTCAGACATGTAGTGGAGGTGTCCTTCATGTCAGACATGTAGTGGAGGTGTCCTTCATGTCAGACATGTAGTAGAGGTGTCCTTCATGTCAGACATGTAGTGGAGGTGTCCTTCATGTCAGACATGTAGTGGAGGTGTCCTTCATGTCAGACATGTAGTGGAGGTGTCCTTCATGTCAGACATGTAGTGGAGGTGTCCTTCATGTCAGACATGTAGTGGAGGTGTCCTTCATGTCAGACATGTAGTGGAGGTGTCCTTCATGTCAGACATGTAGTGGAGGTGTCCTTCATGTCAGACATGTAGTGGAGGTGTCCTTCATGTCAGACATGTAGTGGAGGTGTCCTTCATGTCAGACATGTAGTGGAGGTGTCCTTCATGTCAGACATGTAGTGGAGGTGTCCTTCATGTCAGACATGTAGTGGAGGTGTCCTTCATGTCAGACATGTAGTGGAGGTGTCCTTCATGTCAGACATGTAGTGGAGGTGTCCTTCATGTCAGACATGTAGTGGAGGTGTCCTTCATGTCAGACATGTAGTGGAGGTGTCCTTCATGTCAGACATGTAGTGGAGGTGTCCTTCATGTCAGACATGTAGTGGAGGTGTCCTTCATGTCAGACATGTAGTGGAGGTGTCCTTCATGTCAGACATGTAGTGGAGGTGTCCTTCATGTCAGACATGTAGTGGAGGTGTCCTTCATGTCAGACATGTAGTGGAGGTGTCCTTCATGTCAGACATGTAGTGGAGGTGTCCTTCATGTCAGACATGTAGTGGAGGTGTCCTTCATGTCAGACATGTAGTGGAGGTGTCCTTCATGTCAGACATGTAGTGGAGGTGTCCTTCATGTCAGACATGTAGTGGAGGTGTCCTTCATGTCAGACATGTAGTGGAGGTGTCCTTCATGTCAGACATGTAGTGGAGGTGTCCTTCATGTCAGACATGTAGGGGAGGTGTCCTTCATGTCAGACATGTAGTGGAGGTGTCCTTCATGTCAGACATGTAGTGGAGGTGTCCTTCATGTCAGACATGTAGTGGAGGTGTCCTTCCTGTCAGACATGTAGTGGAGGTGTCCTTCATGTCAGACATGTAATGGAGGTGTCCTTCCTGTCAGACATGTAGTGGAGGTGTCCTTCATGTCAGACATGTAGTGGAGGTGTCCTTCATGTCAGACATGTAGGGGAGGTGTCCTTCATGTCAGACATGTACTCTATCATGTTTTAGTGGTAGCAAGCGATGGGACCTCCACCCCCTGTGATGTTGCCCTGAACATTATTGGGTTACATTACCATGAGAAGGTTCGGAGGCCGCTCTCCATCGGCATCCATCCATACATGGTGAACAAAGGTTCATACTTGGGCAGTAGTTGAATGAAAGGGCCACATAGTGTCCATGCACACGGGCCCCTATGTGACTTTGTCTACCTTTGGTCATCTTCAAGCCCATCTTCAGAACCATTGGCCACCTGGAGACCCATCCATAGTACGGCTTAGACTTTCCTACCCAGAGAGTTCCTCTCACATTGCTGCATTTCAACTCCTTCCGGTGACACAACAAATAGAACTTTGTGACACGAACCTGAAGATGAGTTCTATTAGGCCGTCGGTCTGTTAGTAGGTGAAAGGGCAGCAACACTGGAGGGAGCACATGAACCTCTTATTGCTTTACTGAACTCTACATCTTGGAGAAGTACATCTACAATACAGTGCATGAGATTTTAGTGGTTTGATGTGAATATACTTTTGCCTTCTATGTAGATTAGTATCAGACATTCTTCTTCTATTTATTACGTGTGAAACGTCCTCATCGCATTGCTTGCCTTTAGGTCAGGAGCGGTTTGGTCACATGACCCGGTTGTATTACCGCCAGGCAGCCGGTGCGTTGGTGGTTTGTGACTTGGGCCGGGCCGCCACGCTACATTCTGTCCACCGATGGAAGGAAGATCTGGACTCTAAAGTGTCCCTGAGAAACGGGAACCCCATCCCAACCATCCTGATTGGAAACAAGTGTGACGTGGCTCCTTCTGGGGGAGGGAGCCAGGATTTGGAGGACCTGAGCCGGGAACTCGGATTCACAGATTGTCACATGACCTCCGCTAAGGTGAGTCCAGATCTATATACTGATATGAAGGGGGAGGGGCCTAATCCTGCACCACACACACACACACACACACACATGCCTGAACTATACACAAGTGTCTGACATATAAAGGTTGCGATGCTCCGCCCACATTCATCGTTCTCTTCTTCCAGGAGAATGTGAACATCGATGACGCAATGTCCTGTCTCATCAAACAAATTATCAGGAACATGGAGGACTCCGGATCTACCGATGATCCCGCCATTGTAAAACCGTCTCTTCATCATTTCCGCTACACCGATGGCTGCTCCCAGTGTTGCCGCTTCCAGTGATGGCGGAACAGCTCTACATACCTGGGATTGGAAGTCATCTATCGGGGTGTTAGGGGTCCACCCAAAACTGGAATTTCAGATGGTGCTGAGAACTGAAGCTGGTCACAGTCATTAAGAGGAGGTCTGACTCTCTGAGGATGGCACCATCTTTGTTTAGGCATCATCCAGGGTCACCATCTACTTCCTGGACTGAGAGGCCGGCTCAGAGATAACCTAAATCCTGGTGCCTGTGGATTTCTTGGTTGTGCTCACAAATGTCTGACACTGACTGATCACCGGGGGAGGGGAGACTGAGGAAATGTTTCCTCCTGCCTGCAGCAGACTGATCACCGGGGGAGGGGAGACTGAGGAAATGTTTCCTCCTGCCTGCAGCAGACTGATCACCGGGTGAGGGGAGACTGAGGAAATGTTTCCTCTTGCCTGCAGCAGACTGATCACCGGGGGAGGGGAGACTGAGGAAATGTTTACTCCTGCCTGCAGCAGACTGATGACATCATCTCAACCAAGGCAAAGTCACTGACACCTTGAGATCCCCTCTGCCCTCTTCCAATCTCCGGAGCTCCACGCACCTTGTGCCCCTCTGAAGTATTTGTTATCTGTGAAGTTTGTTCTAATAAAAGTCGTTTTTTTCAGATGACACATTTTGCTTATTTTTGTGTTATGCCCGAAAACTTCTGGTTTCAGCAGTCGTATGCAAATAGGTTAAACATGGGCTGATCACCCAGCAGGTAAGTTAAGGAGGACTAGTGTGTGTGTAAGTGTGTGGAGATCATTGATTGGAGGAGGGTGGAGGAGAATAGATGGCAAGGTGAGTGGAGATCAGAGGATTGGACGAGGGTGGAGGAGATGGTAAGGTGTGTGGAGATCAGAGGATTGGAGGAGGGTGGAGGAGATGGTAAGGTGTGTGGAGATCAGAGGATTGGACGAGGGTGGAGGAGATGGTAAGGTGTGTGGAGATCAGAGGATTGGAGGAGGGTGGAGGAGATGGTAAGGTGTGTGGAGATCAGAGGATTGGAGGAGGGTGGAGGAGATGGTAAGGTGTGTGGAGATCAGAGGATTGGAGGAGGGTGGAGGAGATGGTAAGGTGTGTGGAGATCAGAGGATTGGAGGAGGGTGGAGGAGATGGTAAGGTGTGTGGAGATCAGAGGATTGGAGGAGGGTGGAGGAGATGGTAAGGTGTGTGGAGATCAGAGGATTGGAGGAGGGTGGAGGAGATGGTAAGGTGAGTGGAGCTCAGAGGATTGGAGGAGGGTGGAGGAGATGGTAAGGTGTGTGGAGATCAGAGGATTGGAGGAGGGTGGAGGAGATGGTAAGGTGTGTGGAGCTCAGAGGATTGGAGGAGGGTGGAGGAGATGGTAAGGTGTGTGGAGCTCAGAGGATTGGAGGAGGGTGGAGGAGATGGTAAGGTGAGTGGAGCTCAGAGGATTGGAGGAGGGTGGAGGAGATGGTAAGGTGTGTGGAGCTCAGAGGATTGGAGGAGGGTGGAGGAGATGGTAAGGTGAGTGGAGCTCAGAGGATTGGAGGAGGGTGGAGGAGATGGTAAGGTGTGTGAAGCTCAGAGGATTGGAGGAGGGTGGAGGAGATGGTAAGGTGAGTGGAGCTCAGAGGATTGGAGGAGGGTGGAGGAGATGGTAAGGTGTGTGGAGATCAGAGGATTGGAGGAGGGTGGAGGAGATGGTAAGGTGTGTGGAGATCAGAGGATTGGAGGAGGGTGGAGGAGATGGTAAGGTGTGTGGAGCTCAGAGGATTGGAGGAGGGTGGAGGAGATGGTAAGGTGTGTGGAGCTCAGAGGATTGGACGAGGGTGGAGGAGATGGTAAGGTGTGTGGAGCTCAGAGGATTGGACGAGGATTTTGTACTTTGTATTTCCTGTGCAGACATTTCCACTAGGTGGTGACAACAGGACAGGGATCTGAGCCTTCCTCTAGAAGATGTTCTGCTTTGTATTGCAGAAGACAAATTCCAAAACAGGAACAACAACCACCATCATCATCATCACCCAGCTGACAGAGGTTTAAAGTGAACCTGTCATTAGGGAGTGCGCTATAAACTATTCACCAGGTCTGGGAGATACCCGCGGCTCTATCAGGGCGGTCCTAATAGACATGGGGCACCTCTGGGCAGGGTAAAATGTTGAGGGACTGGTAGGATACCACGATGACCTCTCTAATCTTACTAACGGAATAAAAATGAATTGGTATCAAACTGATGTCACATTATAAAGATGTCCGAACTGTGTAAAGTACAGAATGTATCTTCTTCATCATTCAACAGACACTCGGGGAACACAGCAGAAGAGCTGGGGTATGTGCCCTGGGTGCTAAGGTCCAGCAACACCTCTGGGGCCCCATACAAAGTGGGATCAGTGGCCCCTGGAATCCCTGGACTGGCATACATGCACTATCCGCATACCTGTGTTACTGAGGCTTACCTCCACCGCATCCCACAATGCAATGCAGGCACATCAACCATCCACTCAATGGGGGTCCTACAGCTACATTGTATGATGAGGACGGTACATTGGAGTCTACTCTCACACTACAAAGGTAAAGGTGAGGTCAGGTACTGATGTTGGATGAGAAGATCTTGCTCACAATCCCCAATTCCTCCCAGGGGTGCTCAGTAGGGATGAGGTCAGGGCTCTGTACAGGACACTCGGGTTCCTCCACCACACTGGTCCCCCCATGTCTGTATGGAGCTGGCTTTGTACACAGGGGACAGTCATGGGGGGGGACAGAAAAGGGCCTTCACCAAACTGTGACCACAAGCCTGGAAGATCCCAATTGTCTCCAATGTCTTTGTATGATGATGATGTGTGAATAGAAGTTGCATAGTATGTGCGGGATTTTATGCACCAGGTATGGAAATGGGATGTCCAACAAACTCATATAGGAGTGACGTTCCGGAGTCCAGAAACTTTTGGCCATACGATGTAGTTTACATCCTTCGTTGCAGGTTCTCCTTTAATAGAGGAAAACTAACTAAGTCCCTAACGCTACTATAACTTTACTATAACTCTGCTATGACTCTACTATGACACTACTATAGAACATAAACACAGCGTAGTTACACCCACTTGATATAAACACACCCGGTACAATACCAGGGAAGTGAATAGTCAATCAGAGTCATGACACTGAGTACCATGGAAGTTCAGAGTGGTGATTGTATAACAATAAGTACTCATTGTTGTAGGATGAAGGTCGGTGTATTGATGTCCGGGGATCCGGGGCAAGGCCCAGCTCTGGTGACTCAGGCTCGGATCGGCTTGTGTAATACATTGGATTTCCCCCGTTACAATATGGAACATGGAGGAGGAACCTGATGAGTGTCTGGGAGTTCCCAGTGATAACAATATCTGAATATATTTGTATTGCTCATCAGCAGTGGGTGTCACAATGTTTCTCTTTTCTTCTTTCACAATCTGATACTTTGTTATCTTTTTGTAGGTTGGTTGTATCGCTTTGTATTCTTTCCTATGAGTTGTTGTAGGTTGGTTGTATCGCTTTGTATTCTTTCCTATGAGTTGTTGTAGGTTGGTTGTATCGCTTTGTATTCTTTCCTATGAGTTGTTGTAGGTTGGTTGTATTGTTTTGTATTCTTTCCTATGAGTTGTTGTAGGTTGGTTGTGTTGTTTTGTATTCTTTCCTATGAGTTGTTGTAGGTTGGTTGTATCGCTTTGTATTCTTTCCTATGAGTTGTTGTAGGTTGGTTGTATCGCTTTGTATTCTTTCCTATGAGTTGTTTTAGGTTGGTTGTGTTGTTTTGTATTCTTTCCTATGAGTTGTTGTAGGTTGGTTGTATCGTTTTGTATTCTTTCCAATGAGTTGTTGTAGGTTGGTTGTATCGCTTTGTATTCTTTCCTATGAGTTGTTGTAGGTTGGTTGTATCGCTTTGTATTCTTTCCTATGAGTTGTTTTAGGTTGGTTGTGTTGTTTTGTATTCTTTCCTATGAGTTGTTGTATGTTGGTTGTATCGTTTTGTATTCTTTCCAATGAGTTGTTGTAGGTTGGTTGTATCGCTTTGTATTCTTTCCTATGAGTTGTTGTAGGTTGGTTGTGTTGTTTTGTATTCTTTCCAATGAGTTGTTGTAGGTTGGTTGTATCGCTTTGTATTCTTTCCTATGAGTTGTCACCCTCTGGGGGTCACACAATGGCTCCTTGGTCTGTTTCTGACTCACGTTCCTCATCAGAGTGTTATTATGGGATGATATCCTCGGGGTCTCTTGTCTAGGATTCGGGTGAGGAGAAGAAGAATTTCCTGAAAAGGAATGGTTCCCCGGCTCCGGGAGGGAAATGTTTTATTACATCCAGATTGAAGATTCCTTCATTGTTCTTTCTGGCACCGAACTTACGAGGAAGAGGAACCTGCTGAACCCTAGTGACCCCATATTGCTGCCACCATTGTGTGGGATCACCAGGCTCAACGTTACATGTGGACCCCAAGGGCAGGATGGGGGGCAGGAGGGGCAGGAGCAATTGTTTCCTGTGTGGGGGGAACTGAGAGGTTTCCATCTCTATACCTGGGAAGTTGCCGTCTTTCATCCAGAGGAGCCGGAATCCCGCCTGGTCTCCGTTCTCTGGCTGCCTGCTGATTGACAGGAGGGGCAGCGACTCAGGGGCCATGATATCTGCTGGAAGGAGGATTCTACTTTCTCCTCCCTACAATGGCAGCCTAATGTGGGTGGAGGAGTGTAGGGATGGGGGCATCCTCTAAGAACAGACCACAGGGGGAGGGGGGCCCAGTTTGACATCTTCACTCCGGGCACTGGATGACCTTCCCCCGGCACTAATACGCCCCCTCCAAATGATGGAGTTCAGGTGAAGATTCTGTTAATACATCATACAAAGGTATCAGCAGTCCCTAGGCACAGGGAGTGCTCTGATATCAGGAGTGCCTAGGCACAGGAAGTGCTCTGATATCAGCAGTGCCTAGGCACAGGAAGTGCTCTGATATCAGGAGTGCCTAGGCACAGGAAGTGCTCTGATATCAGCAGTGCCT